AAAAAAAAAAAAGAGAGAGAGAGAGAGAGAGAGAGAGGAGAAAGAGGGTCTGATCCAACCCACTGGCCCAATTTCCACTTTTAAAATCCAGTTCATCCCCAACATTATGAGTGAAAGTCGTTTAAGGTCGACCTAAAGCGAAATCATTTCAAAGACAAGCATGTATGTGTTTCAGCAATAAGGAGACATAAAAGACAGAAGCAGAAAGGAGTAGGATCAATCAGATTTATTTTAATAACAGCTTTGGGTGGATACATATTTGTATACTGACTTCCAACTTTAAATACAGTGGTGCCTCGCTAGACAGTTACCCCACATGACAGTTTTTTCGCTAGACATTGACTTTTTGCGATCGCTATAGCGATTCACAAAACAGTGATTCCTATGGGGGAATTTCACTGGACAATGTTTGGTCCCTGCTTCGCAAGCCGATTTTTGCTAGACGACGATTTGCTTTTCGCTAGACAATGATTTCTCTAGACAGCGATTTCAGTGGAACGGATTATCATCGTCTAGCGAGGCACCACTGTATTGTCTTTTAATGATGTAAATTGCCTTGGGTCCTTTCTAAGGAGAAAGGTAGGGAAAATAGTTGAAATCAATAAACTCTGCTTATTTATAGCTAATATATAGGACACCAGGTTGGGGGCCATTCTGCTCAAATGACACTTGGAAACTCAATCTAAGCAAAACCTAGAGAAAGGATTTTCTCATCCTTACATGGAGATGCTAAATCTTGAACCCTGGATTTTGCTGTAATGCCAAATATCCATTTGTCTACTGAGTTACACCCCCCACTCCTCCTGAAAGGGCTTTCCACAGTAATGTATGTTTGAATGAACTAACTCAGTACAATGATGGAACTGGAATGAAATCCGCAGAGGACGGTTGTGAGCAGATCCGCCACTTTTCCGTTACAAATGTCCCTTCAGTTAGAAAAAATAGATCTATTCTGTTTCCCAAACTACGTTTCTTTTTCCCCCCTTTAAAATACTTTAAAAAATGAAGAGCAACCTGGTTGAAAGTCCACGGACCATCTTTTCTTTTTCTCCCTTCCACTCCTGCAGCCTGTCTCCCCTGTTTTTAATCAGTTTCATATAATTCCCGCATACGTCTTCTCCCCCCAACACCCCTTTTTTTTTTTGAGCTGGAGAAGACAGAACGAAGGCTAACGTAATTGGAGTTTTATTGTGCTGTTAGGATCGGTAAATTTCCGACTGCACAATCTGTAATGAGCTGAATCTTGGGCAAGGAAGTCTGTGAGTTGCATGCGGATCTGTTTGTTTGCAAACTCTGCCCTCAGGGACACTGGGGTGGGTGGCTGGGATGATGCCCTTAATACAATCAATCACCCTGGTTTGGTTTATTTCTAGGTTTTCTTTCAACTGGTGGGAAGTATGTCGATTTTACTGAACTCCACCTACGATTCCCAGGTAACGCTTGGGTGGGTCTACGGTGTGTGTGAACCCATCATCCACCACCATGCCCTTTTTCTCTTGCAAGCAAATTAGAAAAGGGGGGGAGAGGAGGAATCCCGCCTATCTGGTCATTTGTACACACACAAGATTCAAGGGAGGGTGTTCTTAACCATTTCGCACACCCGCCGCCTTTTCGCCTCTAAAGCACCCCTCCCAACCTCCTTTCCCCGACCGTCTGTCCGTTCCCAAACACTAATCACAGAATCTGAGAACGGCAGAACTGGGCACCCGCCGCCTTTTCGCCTCTAAAGCACCGCTCCCAACCTCCTTTCCCCGTCTGTCCGTCCGTTCCCAAACACTAATCGCAGAATCTGAGAACTGCAGAGCTGGGAGGGACTTTAGAGGTCATCCAGTCCAGCCCCTGACAAGGAAGGCCCAGAGGGGAATCGAACTCCCAACCTCTGGCTTCGCAGCCAGAGACCTAAACTACATAATCTTAGAACGACAGAGCTGGAAAGGACCCTATAGATCATCAGGTCCAGTCCTGGTTCCCAGTGGGGACTTGAACACCCAGCCTCTCAACCACTGAGCTATCCAATTGTGTATGTACTCTTGCGGGTAAAACAGAGGCTCTGTAGTGCGTGATGAGAATAGAGAGGCACATGAATGCCTTCTTTACACCAGCCTTCCCAGAGTCCTTCGGCCAAGCAGGGCTATGGGGATTGTGGGATTTGTAGTCCTACCATAAAAAGGAATGTTCCCAAGGTCCGATCAGCATCAAAAGTCCCTCTCCTGGCTGTTCTGCCCAGCCACTCATCCCGGGGGCTTTATTTTCTGTTTCCAGACAGTGCCAATCGCCGGAAGTTTAATTGAAACCATCGACAGCGTGATGTTTCACGTCACTCGCAGTTTGGGAGGGAGCCCCTCCACCATCGCGGTCGAAGGCACATCAACCACCGCAGGTGAGGTTTCTTTGGCTGGCATCCCGGCGCCTGTCTCACCACGGAAGTCTGGGTAATCGCAATAAGACAATTCCGCGCCTGCAGATTTTCACTGTCAAGAAGCAGGAAACATTCCAGTCTTTCCCCCCATTTATTTGGGGGGGGGGCGGAAGAGAAGACATCCGTCACAAAAATGTTTATAATTTAATAATCATCTTAGAACTGCAGAGCTAGAAGGGACCCTATAGATCATCAAGTCCAGATCCTGTCAAAGAGGCCCAATGGGGGAATCGAACTCCCAACCTCTGGCTCCACGCCAGAGACCTAAACTACTGAGCTATCCGGCGGTTATATAATTCCTAGGCGTGAAAGGAAGCAAGATAAAATTTTCCTTTTGGACTCAAGTTGGTGGAACTGGATTAGCTCTCTTCAGATGGGTAATGGCAGTTATCACTTGGCAGCCAGATTCTGCCACGCCTAGCCCATGTTAGCCGGTGCTGTCCGGATCCTATGTGCACTGCGCTTGAAAACCTGCGAAAATACCTTCAAATTCTGTGCAAAATTCAAATAAGTTCTTCTTCTTCTTCTTCTTCTTCTTCTTCTTCTTCTTCTTGGACTGCAGCTCTTCAATCTGTGCCCCATACCCAACCTAGCCAGCATGGCTGGGGGTTCAAGGGAGTTGCAATTCAGAAGCGAAAATAAATTCCAAATTCTGCAACAAGGGGACTGCGATTCTGCGCCCCAGGGAGGAAAAAAGCAGAATTCAGCAGTGTGCAAATTTTATGCGAATTCGTAAAAATATGTACAATAAGGAAGTGCATTTTGATCCTCAAACGCTCGTAAGAAATAAATCAGCTTGTCTTTAATGTGCTGCAATATTTTGCATTTTCTCTCCCCTTCTTTACCTTTAATTTTGCAAACATTCTACAAACCGAATGCATGTTCGCCGTGGTCAAGCCTTTAATACATGTTATTTCATGCATCCTTACCACCATCCTTACCACACCCTTGTGTCTATTTTTATACAGATTATTCATTGGTCAAAATCCCACCACAGCCCCTTAATGTCCCTGACTACCGTTTCCCTCTGCAAGGGCAAAGTTATATTTCCATTCCTGGGGAAGCTTTCCAGTACAAAGGTAAGGGAACAGCCTCTGCTTGGGATGAAGTATTGTTGTTCTTTGCTAACAAAACAGACCAAAGCGGTCTTCAGAGGACCTAGCCATTCTAGCAGGAGAAGAGCGATCTGGGTAGATAATTCTGGCCTAGAGGGATCTCCGTGGGCTGATCTGGTGTAAAACAGCTTCCTCCGTGGGATTGGGAGCAGGACTTTCTGAGAGGTCCCAGCATTAATCCATGGTCTTTCCGAGTGAACGGATCGGGTAGAAAGAAAAGGAGAGAAAACTTCACTTGAGATGAAGGACACCCAAAGCAGTGGGGGAGGCCGTTCCGGGTTGGAGCCTGAACTTTACAAAAGCCAAAATTTGACTCCAAAATGGCCTTCCAGATTTGAGTCTGAACTTTATAGCAGCCCACCAAGGGGGCCAGAACCTTATCTCCAAAAGGCCTTCAGCACCTTGGAGAGCCCCCTTTAAAGTTCAGACTTAAATTGGAGACTTCAGAGTCACCAGCTTCCACTGGTAGAAAACATGTTTTGCATGCAGAAGGCTCTGTGCTCCAGGAGTTGCTGGACTACAACTCCTATCACATCTAACATTGCCCAAGGATGATGGATACTGGAGTCTGGCAATTAGAGAGTTGTTTGCCCACCCCACCCCCACTGTAAAGTAAAACCAACTTGGCGCAATGGTGCTTATTCCTCAGTAAGTGTGTTTAGGATTTCGGACCCCACCCCCACTGTAAAGTAAAACCAACAAATGGTGCTTATTCCTCAGTAAGTGTTTTTAGGATTTCTGCTATATATAGTGGTGCCTCGCTAGACAGTTACCCCGCATGACAGTTTTCTTGCTAGACATTGACTTTTTGCGATCGCTATAGCGATTCACAAAACAGTGATTCCTATGGGGGAATTTCACTGGACAATGTTTAGTCCCTGCTTTGCAAACCGATTTTCGCTAGACGACAATTTGCTTTTCGCTAGACAATGATTTCGCTAGACATATAAGTGGGTTCTAGATCGAATCAAACTGACTACTGTACTTAGTACATGTCATGAAAAGACAAGACTCATTAGAGAAGATAATCATGCCTAGGAAAGCAGTAGACAGTAGGAAATGAGGACCCAATGTGAGAGAGATGGATGTAGTAAAGGAAGCCATTGGTTTGAGTTTGCAAGACACGAGCAGGACATTTTGATGAATTTCTAGAATCACCATAAAGCCAGAAATGACTCGACAGCACGCGCTTCCTAGGAAGTAATTCTCACTTTTTATCAATGACGCTCCTTTCAAGGAAGGAACGCTACCAGATTTGTAAACTTAAATCAGCTTGCTTCTCTGTTGCCTATCTGCTCCACAAGAGAATTGCAGGCAGGCAGGAATGCTGAGCTCCAAGGAGGATTTTTGGGAGGAAAATTGCAGCAAGAAGGCGCGCCGGCTTTTTCCGTCCCGGAGCCGAAAGCAATAAAGGCCGAGGAGGGCTTGCTTGAACACACCACGTCACTTTGTGGTTCCTGCCGCAAGTTAGTTGTAAAAAAACAGAAGCACTCCTATGAGAGTAAGCATGGAACAGGACTAATTTTCCAAAAAGTGTTCTAGAAATCAGCAAAGTGGCAGGTCAGGCTGTCAGAGGATGCTCAGAGTTCAAATGGAGATTTCCTGGTTTTTCAGAGGGTTCAACACAGACATATAAATAAACATTTTTGTCTTCTTTCTCCCTTTCTTGTCATCTTGCCTCCCACCCACCCAACCAAAAAAAAAACCAGCCTGGATTACCATTGTGGGCCTTCTATACCACACCATGCATCGGTACTTTGATAGAATCAAACCGACCGACACCAAGTAAGTTTGTTTTAAAACGAAACATAAATATATATATATATTTGGCTGATTGTGGATAATGATCATTGTTTCGCATGCGGAACCCTGCATAAGCTTCTTAGCCCTGCTTAATAGGGGTGATGCTGGCCTACCTTATGAGGCTGTTGTAGAGACCATTTCTTGAAGGCCTGTAGTCCTACAGCGCTACACCATTTTCGCAATGGAAAAAGCTTTCCAAAACAGAGAGGGCCATTATGGGCTAGAAAAAGAAGCTTTGTAAAAAAAGGAGAAATTCCCACTAGGTGAACTTGATAGCAATCTGGACCTTTGCCTAGATAAACAATAACCCTCATAAGGTTTGCGAGGCTCAACCCTTCCACTAGTTCTAATCTCCTCTTGTAAAAAAAGGTCTTATCTCTTTTGCACTTTGAATAAGACAAGGAAGACTTGAACTAACATAGCCATGAAATACAATCCCTTTCCACGTATGCTTTTTACTATAACCTGTGGGTCTCATTTCCCCATCGCCAAAGCAGATAACAGCTGCAGGTTCCATCTAGTTCCTGCTTTTTTAAAAAAAATTCAAAATGATAGTTTCACCCTGACTCCTGACATGGGAATGTTTCCAAGCCTATGTGCTCACACTGAGACACACGCCTGGATGTGCTGTATATGGTTGGAACACTGGACAGTAAAGAAAGCTTGACAGGGAGAAAATTAATTTGCTCGGAATGTGGTGCTGGAGGAGAGCTTTGCGGATAGAAAGACGGCTAGAAAGAAAAACAAATGGGTTCAAGATCAATCAATTCACTTGAAATGTTCCCAAAGCAGGTAATCTCATACAAAAAAAAATGCATGGAGGTGCTGGAAAAGAGCTTTTCAGATACTTTGAACTGCCAGAAAGACAAACAAGTGGGTCCAAGATCAATTGATTCCTTTCAGATGTGGTGCTGGAGGAGAGCTTTGTGGATAGAAAGACTGCCAGAAAGACAAACAAGTGGGTGCCAGATAAAATCAAACCTGAACTACGTATCTCTGAAGGCAAACATGTTGAAAGTGAGGCTGTTCTACTTTGGGCTCATCTTAAGAAGGCAGGATTCTCCGGAAGAGACAATAATGATGGGGAAGAAGGCAGCAGGGAAAGAGGAAGACCAAATATGAGATGAACTGGCTCCCCAAAGGATCCCACAGGACTGAGTTTGGAAGAATTGAGTAGGGGTAGTTGAGGGCAAGGTATTTTAAAGATGACTCATTCATAGGGGCGTCATGAGTCACAGGCGACTTGACGGCACATAACAAAAACAACAGATCACAGCTAAGACATTCACTTCTCCAAACCTTATACTCTGAAAGATTCTGGACACTGAATAAAGGAAAGCCAGTTTAAGGATTTTTTAGTAGCTCAATGGCAGAATAGCC